ATACAGTAAAGTACCAAAAGTGGATCGGGGCCCGTTTTTGGATCAGTTTGATTTATGGAGCCCGTAACAGCATGACAGCTAACGCACCTCACGTATCTTTTTTGTACTACTTTAGGCAACATTTTTCACCAGGCACCTGATCGCTCAACGTATCTCCGGCCTGTGAATCATGCTTTTTATCAGTTCGCGACGAAAATAACGAAAAATCGCGATTTTAGTTTTACTGTGTGACAAATATTGTGAAATTGAGTTGGTTATTATTTGAAAAAATCGTTTTCTGGTGGTTATCATTGTTCAATGTGAATGTAGAAACCCGTTTAACCAAAAAATTGTTGTCCAACATCATTTCAGTTTGATTGCGGCACTGTATGTTTGATTGTTTTGAAAAAGTGATATTGACCTCAATTAATCACATTGGTTGCTGAAAACAATCGTAAGTACTTTTTAAATTATATTACCGGGTGTTTTAGTGCTAACCGTTGCATTTCCGCGTAATATATTTATATACCCATAAACGGTCTGATCCACATTTGGACAATGTAAAAGTGATCCACATTCGGTCTTCTTTTTACAGATGAGTTATACGGAGGAAGAATTGGAGCAGGCGGTCAGCCGAGTCGTAGATGGAGGTATGGGTCTGAGGGAAACTCAAAGGGCATTCTCAAATATACCGTATGGAACATTACAACGTCATGTCAAAACGCAATGTGGAAAAATAACCAAACCGGGAAAAAAACCTGTGCTTGATGAAAACATTGAAAATTTATTGGTTATAGCAATAAAAGAACTTGCTCACGTCGGATTCGGACTAACTCGAAAAGAGGTAAGATGTTTTCATATGTACATACATATGTACTTCCATTTGTATGTACATTACATACAAAAATCGCCGACAAAAAAAATTTTCCATTGTTCTACAATGTAATTTTGATATTTTTTGATTACAGATTTTGTTAGTTGCAAAAGAAATTGATGAAAAACAAGACCATCCAGTTTTCAAAAATGAACTACCCAGCAATATGTGGTTTACACGTTTTTTAGACCGCCACAAGTTGAGTTTACGAAGTACAATGAGCAAATCATTGGCGCGATTAGAGATGGAGCTCCCAGCAATCCGGGATGAATTTTTTGAAGCCTACGCAAAAATTCGAAACGATTACAACATATCTGGCAAAGATATATATAACGAAGACGAAACCGGGATTCAATTTGTGTGTAAGTCACCGAAAACAGTGGCTAAGAAAGGTGAGAAGTACGTGTATGCTAGAAAAAGTGGAGAACGCAGTGTGAACATAAGTATAGCGATGTGTTCAAATGCTCTCGGTTCCGTAATCATTCCGCCATTTCTGATATTCAAAGGATTGAGTTTTTNGTCTGATTTGCATACAGAATGTTTTCCGGAAAATACAATTTTTGCTAATAGCAAAAGCGGTTATATGGTAACAGATATTTTCGCAGAGTGGCTCAGAATTTTTGTTGAAAACATACCTCCAAAGCGCCCAGTGTTACTTCTTCTTGATGGCCATGTTAGTCACGTTTCTTTAAATGCAATCGAGTTCGCTAAAGACAATGGAGTACTTATGTTATGCTTCCCACCCCATACTACCCACCTGTTGCAACCGATGGACAATGGACCCAATATAACCCTGAAAAATGCGTTCAAAGATGAATCTAACAAAAGGATGAGGAAAATGAAAAGACGTCTAAAAAATGAGGATTTTGGTAAAGTCTTCAAGCAGGCATGGGAACGTACATGTTCACAAATGACGATGAAATCCGGATTCGTTAAAACTGGACTTTGGCCTGTAAATCCTGCCAAAATGCTAATTCGTGAAAGGGACAACGAAGCTTCTTCCCAACCAGACTCATCGTTAGATGTGCAATCCTGTTCCACAACTTCTGATACTACGTTAGACGTGCAATCCTGTTCCATAACTTCTGATACTACGTTTGACGTGCAATTCTGTTCTACTCCAAGTTCATCTTCCGCACGCGAGCAAGCGAAAAAATCGAAAGGCGAGCAAGCAGTAGTAGACGCAATTACTGCTTTACTTCAACCTTCACCTCAAAAAGAACAGATCACTACTCACTCTCGAAGGATTCATGTCAGCAGGTAACATTTCAATTTTCTCAATATTTGAAAAATTCAAGAAGGTACATACATGTAATTTTGATTTGAATTTTCGATGTTTTTTTTTTTGTACTTTTCAGGTGTATTACATCCGATGAATATATTGCCGAAAAAAAAAGAATGGAAGAAGAAAAAGCGAAAAAAGCTGCTAAGCCAAAAAAACGCAAAGGTGCTCGAGTTGAAATGAGCAGTGGCGAGGAAGACGAAGCTTACGTAGATGATCCTGACACGCCTCCTCCAAAAAAAACGAGAAGAAAAAAACGCAAAGCTGATCAGGTTAAAATTTATACGAGTAGCGAAGAAGAAAACGAAGATTACGACGATTACGTAGATGAGCCGCCTCCTCCAAAAAAGACCGAAACGAGAAAGCGCAAAGCCAACCAGGTTGAAATGAGTAGTGAAAAAGAACTTGTCGATTCAGAAATAGAAGAGCTCGATTATGTAATCGTCAGATTCCCAGTCTCACAAAATAATAGAGATCGTTTATGGATTGGTAATGAAATTTTCAGTCATTTTTTACATACTATTTCTGTCATCAAATTTTAATATGTACCCAAAATTGAATGTTAATTTGTTTTTGTGTATGTAGGACAAGTCTTGAAAAAAGAAAAGCGATCAGTCACGGTGAAATTCCTTAGAAAAAAAGTATCGGAGAAATTCGGAGCCATCTTTACATACCCGATTACAGACGATACCATGTCCGTTAACCATTCCCAGATAAAAAGAAAAGTGAAAATCAATTATATAAAAAGAGGAGTGCATGTTTTTCATTTAACAGACGATGAAATTAAAGTTGTGGAGTAATTTTTTAAATTTTTACACGTATTACATATGTACTATGTAATTTACTATATAATTAGTATGTAAGTCAAAAATCTGCATTTTTCCTTGAATTTACCCGAATGATATTGAAAATTGCATTTTTCCGTTTTATTTTTTGAATACATATACTTGAATAATTGATAAAAACTGCATTTTTATTTTTCATTTTTTTGAATGTCCGTTTCTGGATCACTTGTAAAATGATCCACAATTGGTAAATTTTGTATAGCCCAATTCAACATCAATTTTCGCTTTAAAAAATTTTGCTGGTAACTGTAAGTTCTATGTGGCATAGGAAAGTAAAGACAGGCAGTATTTTGTCTCTATGGCGCTGATCCACAAACGGGCCTTTCTGCTCTAATGTGGATCAGAAGGCACTTTAAAAATTGTCGAAGTGTGCAGAATCATAACATCTGGCAACAAAAAAAAGTGTTATACATTATAGAGGAAGCATCAAACAACTGTGGAAAACACTTCCCCTCCCTCCCCCAGCACCCCCTCCCCCTCAAAAATGACTTTGAAAAAAGGTGATCCACAAATGGTACTTTACTGTATTGAATATAGTAAAAAGTAATAATTAAAAATCAAATAATTATAACATTATGTAAAGATATGTTGTTTATTAAAAATTCTTGAAGCTATATACACATATCTTTACATAATTATTATCGTTGGCGGAAGTATGGGACATTTACAACATCATAATTCTTTTTTTAAACTTTTATACGAGCGTTTTGGTAACTCTTTTGTTTTTGAATTAAAATTTTGGATAAAACAGAATAGAGAACTTGGAAAAATACATAATCGTATTTTATTCTTAAAATCTTGCAAGAAACAAGATTTATTACCGCAACATTTATACTATCGTTCGTGTTCCTTTCCGAGAGTCACCTTTTATAGTTATAAACAACGATGTATTTTTGACAACAAACGATCACACACACTCTTTGCGCGCAGCACCCTACGGCTTGAGATCATCGACCTTTATAGATACCGTTCATTTATTCTCAACAAAATATTTGTAATCAAAAAATCTATCATACACACCTTGTCGTTTTAGCTCTAAAGAATTTTTCACCACTCAATTATCAAAATTGGATAAATTTCATTCCTGTGAAAATAGAAAGATGACTAATAAAATTGCTTGGCTAAGGCAGAAATCGTTTAGACGACATCCTATAAAAAACTTAAAATATTTTGTAACTTCTCACGACCAGTCTCATCAAAAAATTGTTACTACGTCTTCTACCAGTTTTTTCACACATATTTCTTTCAAGTTTTCCTTCGCCCTATTTACTACTGAACAACCTACTTACACAATAAACTTAAATTTTCAAACACACTCAAGAACATTATTAGAACCACGTAAAAATTGGTTCATAAACTTTACTAATACCTACATACCTACTGAAGTCACTGGTCTGTTACAATAAGGCGAGAATTTTTGTCTTCCACCAGACAATAATAACAAACTTACATTCGAATTGATTAAGAATTTTAAAAATAATATTAAACATTTAAATAATAATAATAAAATAGAATGTCGTAATCGATTTGTCTCTACTCTTAAACAAATGAGAGTCTCTAAATTTATTAATTCTACATACAATGGAGAAATCATCCAAGCTCAAAAACTCACTCATCAGTTTATAAAAAATCATCCTTCTATTGCATTTACAAGAGCTGACAAGGGAAATGCGGTTGTTGCCATAAATAAAGACTTGTACACGAATCGAATGGAGGATCTGCTTTCGGATACCAACACGTATGTTTTTGTAAAAAAGAACCCAGTCAACTCTATGTTGAGTTCGCTCAAAGAGTTGATAAAGAGATGGAAGTCTCGCGATTACATCACGAGACTTACTTACAAAAATTTTAATACGTCTCTTACTATTCTTCCTAGAGCCTATGAAGTCCCAAAGATTCATAAACCTGGCAATCCTCTCAGGATCATTATTTTTTCAATTAATAGTCCTTTACATAATCTTGGAACATTTTTACATAAAATAATTTCAAAAAATCTTGAATCTCCGTCGAGTTTTGTTTATAATAGCTTCCACCTTGCTAGTTTAATCTCTAATGTAACTTTTGCTGAAACGTTTGAGCTTATTTCACTCGACGTTGTATCTCTTTTCACTAAAAGAGCTAAATATGCTGTTCTATTCCGTGGGAAGAGATAGGGCGAAACATCATGGGAAGATAGTTATCACCAATATGGGAGAAGCCTTTATGAAGGCTAACAAGGACCTAGACGACAAGAGCGGTGTTATAAATATAAACAGGAGCCGTAACATATTTAACTATGTTGTAGAAGGTGTCGGACTAGCACAAGCTAGTATGACTCCGATATTGTCTGACTGGAGGGAGCTAGGGATAAGGGTGGTACTCTATGACGACATAAGAGAACGTCGTTTTACACAACCATCAGGAGTGGATTGGGCAGTTGGTAAGAGGTCGGTGCCCAAATACATCAGAGTTCCTACGGACGGACTGTGTGCCTGGGGTTTCAGAGCTACAGTAGTGAATTGGAGGTACGTCGATAAATATGTTTCAAACGGCGGCCTCATGTCCGTAAATCCAGAACGTAACGAGTGGTGGGACTTAAATTCCGAGAACGTTGTCACCATTAGCCTCGGTACTAACGTGAGTGAGTCAAGCGTTGGCAGGGATATATGGGTATTGTCTCACCTGGATTATCTTTTGGTGTATGGACTCGAGAAGTATGAAATGTACTACTATGACCGTAACGGTAGTGCAGTGACTAAACCCGAAATGTTCGTGAGAACCGCTTCCTTGGTAGATGTCCATTCTAGGGCTAGGAAGATAGTTTTCGTAGTCATGTCTGACAACTTTACGGACTACAAAATAGGGGGTGTTAACTTTAACATACCCATAGTCACGAGGTTCCAAGAGTTAGAACAGAGTGTTGGACCAACGGTCAAAGACTTCGACCTGGGGATTAGGACCATGCTCAGAAGAACTTTGGGCTCTAACCAATGTTTGCGGGAGTCTTTCGAGGAGTACGCTGCCGGATACTTTTGTCACGGCTTGAAGTGGTTAAAAGTGGATAATCTCGGGGTCATACTAAGAGTAAGGTGGCATCCAAAGATCGAGGTGTCAACCGTAGATGACGGGAAAGGGTATGTATGCCATTATAGGTATCTTTCTGGAGAAATGGTTAGAGTATTAGGTATAGTACCTTCTAGCGAAAAGAAAAATAGAGAGTGCCCGTAGGGGGTCTTTTCGCTTTTTTATTTTTATTTATTGAGGTTTTTAAAGGGCTTCTTTAGTGAGTGTGTTGCTAGGTCACAGATTTTCTCTCTCACGTGTCCTATCCCAGCCAGGTGTGACACTTGGGGAATATGAACAAGAAGAGCAGGGGGGGAAGTCCTTAGAGACCCCCCCCCCCTGGTGACCAGGCTGCTTTATAATTTGCGCCATGTGGACACGGGGATCCGGACCCAGTCAGGACCATAGACGACGTCTATGGGGGCATTGAACCAGAGGAGATGATTGCCTTCTCGAAGACCGGTACTATACCTGAACGTACAAAGCCCGGAGAGTTCCCAGAAGATGAAGGAAAGGAGAATGTGTGGGGTACTATCCATCCGAGTGAGTACCTCACACCAGAAGAATACGCTCGGATATTCCCAGACGGGGTGCCGGGACACTCCCGGGATCCGTTTGTCGCCAAACCGGTAGAGACAGAAAAAAAAGGTATAGTACCCTCAGATCCAAACAAGTGGACTTCTACTGTTCTAGGTCAGCAGTGAACAGTATAGAACAGGTTGACCCTTGAAGAGGGAGTTGGTTAGACAATACCTCGGCTTAAGGATAGGTAGGTGGCACGCTATGGCGGAGCTGGGATGTAGTGCGGGGTTTTGCACCTACGATGCTTTCTCTGTTGAGAATAAACAGTTAGTTGGTGCTAGGATAGAAGCCGGTGGTATTGACGCCATGGTAAGAGCTGGGTACATCAGACGTGTAATAGAGACGTGGAAACGGCAAAATGGGCTTAGGGATGAGATCGTAGCTCTAGATTCATACCTTAACCTTGAGAATTACTGGACCCATTTTGTCGCCAGTGAACATGGTGGAGGGGCTACTTTGTATGACTTGGTTGGACACGTGTGCACAACTAAGTATGTTGGGTGGTCCTGGAGGATGAACGAGGTGAGAGCGGTTCCAGCTAGTAGCACTGGAATACGTACTTTTCGTATTGGAATAGGCCTCTGAATCGTGAATGGGGACCCTTCACCATAGGAGCAGAACATGAACATGAGACTAGTGCTTACTGTCTCAATATTAACCGGATGGATGGGGACTACGATGTACACATATGCACATAAAATTTTAATGTAAGAATGAGCTACCTTCAAGATCAACGACTTTTATAACTAATATTTTCAGCATTATTTAATTTTCTTGTTTAAACATTACCTTGTAATGTTTCGTAAGTCTTTGGCAGATTTCTTGATGAATAATTGAAATAATCACTCTCCGATTTTTATCCGTAATTCGTATTCAGAAGACAACCGAGACTAATAACACTTATGCCTAAACGATAAGTTATAAAACAACATCTCTTCTGTAAACATCATCCGAAACCTTTGACTTGAAGAAAACCGAACTTCTTTAATTATACGGTTAAGAATGTGCAAGCAGAATCAAATTTTTCCATTGTAAAAATTTTAGTAATCAAGAATGTGTCAAATTTTAACCACTTATCGAATGCAGAATTTAATCAGATTTTCAGACAAAAGCGAATGCGGTTAATTGTTTTCTCGATTAATTTTGATGAATTAGTTTTTATTTAATCAGTTATCAGTATCAATAAAAGACTATGATTATGTGTGACTAAAAAAACACTTTTCAAAATTATTCTTTGAACTTCGTCTAATACCACAAATATCCCGTTCATTTCTTCAATCTCTTGTAGATCACCAGGTCTCCCCTGATAATTAAGATTCGCGTCTTAGAAAAGGAGACCGACGAGTGAGAATACGTTAGACAGAGAAAAATCGGAAAATTCCGTTGGCCTGTCTGCGTTATCGCTAC